ATGTTGGATCCTTCCTCTTTCACTTCATTCTCCAAATTGTTTCACTTCCTGACTGCTTTAAGCTCAGTTGGTAGTGCACTTGGCTCATTCCGAGGTTCATGGTTTGATTTCCCATACAGTTGGAAACTGTAGTGTGTTTTGTTAAGATACCCATCCCTGTTTACCTTGCAACAAGTAGATACCTGGGTGTTAGCAGACTGGTGTGGGTCACATCCTGGGGACAAAATTAACATATGCCTGAAATGCTCTGCATAACCAGGGGCTTTCTGTATACATAGTATGTCATTGATGCCAGCTAGGTCTGTATAAGTTTCATCATACAATACAAAAGAATATTATTATTATAGCATCCCTGTAACTCAATCTGTTTTTAACTTGTTGCAATGCCTGTGTTCCTGTTCCCCTTTCAAATAATCAGTACCTGTCAACCCTATCAGTTCCTCTTATTATTTTGTACACTTATCATATCACCCTTAGTTGTTTCCTCTACAAACCACTGCAATTTCCCCAATTTCTTAACATGCTTAACCAGATTTGGGTTCCATATTGGTGCTGCACATCAGTATCCATATGATGTCTTAGGAATGCTTCTTCTGATTACTTTCAAATCATCTTTGTTAATATTTAACTTCATTATCAATGTAAGCCCAACACTACATTGTTCAAATTGCATGCACTGGGATGTTTTCCTCAGATCATTCAGTGGCCAAAATACATCTAGTATTTTTATGCTTTAGGTGATGAGTGGCCGATATCTTTTGGGAAAGACGGCAAAAAAAGAAGATGAAGATGAAGTTATGCCTCAGCAATCAAAACGGGCACAAGAAGCTAAAAAGTCTGCAAAGAAGTCCAAGAAAAAAGGGTCAAAGAAGTCTTCAAAGAAAGTAGCAAAGAGGCCAGTTGCCAAGACAGCCAGTACGCCCCCGACAAAACGGCCGGTGAAGAAAACCAAGGCAAGAAAGTGAAATTAAAAATATGGTATATATATATATTTTTTAATTGATTTATATTTGATGGCTTATACTCATCTTCCATTATCATACAATTATGCAGCTGCTCAGCAATGTGCATTTAGATTCTCATTTTTTAACATTTATTTTTTTTTAATTGGCATGGTAGCCAATAATTGTATGCTTACCATAATTGCTACAGCCTATTCCATTTTGTGATAGTGGAACCAAATGAATACAGGCTTATATTCACTTAATGTAGTTGACAGAATATAAAATTGCTTTTTTTTTTTATCGTGCATTTTTTTGTATCCTATGCTTATGTGCACTTTGTATTGAGATGGTACAGTGGCAGAATAAGGAAATAACTTGTCATAAACTAAGATACAACAAATTTTGATGGAGTAATATCCTTGCTGTTCAGGCTGAAAGAATGATTGGCGATTCATTTCATCCAAGCTAAGCTTTGATTTATTGAGTAGCCACCCTGACTGTAAGGTGATTTGCTGACAAATGTATCACTCTTAAATGAACTTGCCATTTCTTTAAGATCATGGAACAGAGACTTCCTGTATAACAGCTTGGCTAATATTGTATTTATGGAAAATAATGTACAGGTACATTTCTTGAAGGAAATTACAATATAACTTGACCTCTTGATGGGGTAAAAGTTGTATGAACCAAATTGAATACTTCTTTGATACTAATTAGAACCAAGAGAAATCATCTGTATATTAATGTTCCAGTTTGTACTCTCAATTGTGTTAATATTATAATCAAAACTAATCACTAAACCTACAATTATTATAAAAAGAAGCGCTAAACCACAAGGGTTATACAGCACTAAACCTACAAGGGTGTCCATTAATAATAACAAACCTAAGCAAAATCTGGAAGGGTCATAACAGCAGTCAGCTGTGTTATAATAGCAGTCGTTTTAACTGTTGAATAACTCTTGCATTGGCATCTTTTGATGAAATGACCTTTCGGGGTAATAATAATAGTCTCTTTCTACAAGTACATGGTACAGCTATTACAGACTTGGTTGACATCATTGGCATACTATATAGAAAACCCGATTACTGTTATTATATTTACGAAGAAGTACTAAACCCATAGGGGTTGTATAGCATTTAAGTTCAATCCAAGGAAGGGAAGGGCAAGTCCAATTCCTTGGATTAAGAGCCCTCCTCACTGGCATCAAAGAACCTCCCTTAAGGGGTCCCCTGATCATTTAAAGCATTTTGAGCAACTTGGGTTAATCTTGTTTACTAGGATGTGACCCATAACTCAGTCTAGCATCTAACACCCAGGTACCTACTTACTGATAGGTGAACTAGAGCAGCAGGTGCAAGGAAACATGCCCAACATTTCACCTGTGCTAGAATTGATCCCCGGATTGAGAGAGACCGCTGAGAACACTATCGATCAAGCTGCAAGCACCCCAAAGTGTTACAATAAAAACTAAGTGCTAAACTCATAAAGACCATATAGCACTAAAACACCCAAATTAAGATCTAAACCCAAGAGGTGGCCTTTCTCTTAATCTCTCTTAATGCAGAATCTGTATAAGAAACTGATTTACTGCATTGACTCAATTTGTTACCCTATGGTCATTGTATGCTTATGCTATTCCTGCCATTTTTACTCCCATTACTATGTAACACAATGATTTACCTCGAGATTGCAATATATTTATGCACTGACATCAAAGCACATGATCTGACACTCCTAACTTTATTACAGATTGCATTAGTGATAATTCCAAGTAGAGTTGCTATTATAATCAGAACTAAGCGTTAAACCCACAAGGTTCATACAGCTCTGCAAGTCATATGAACATGATTGCAGTACAGTGATTAATATGGGTTTTGCATATTTTTATGACTAATTATTGTTCCAAGCAGAGCAAAGCAATAAAACCTACAAGGGTCATTACAGCAGCAGAGATGCAAGCTTCAGAAATTAGAAATAAACACCAGATCATGGCACGAGGGACAATTTGAATTTCTTTATAGCTTGTAACACTGGGAGTCTTAAACCACAAATGACAAGGCAGACATGGTTGCAGTGTGTATGATAGCAATGAGAACTATTTCTGCTGTGAAAACTTTTTCCAATTCAAGTAAATATCCTTGGATTATTCTTTCATTATTTTTTTTATTAAGACACTGGCCATTTCCCACCAAGGTAGGATGGCTCAAAAAAAGAAACTTTCACCATCATTCACTCCATCCGTCTTGCCAGAGGTGCACTTAAACTACTGCAACATTAACCCCCCCTCGTTCAGAGTGCAGACACTGTACTTCCCATCTCCAGGACTCTAACCCGGCCTGCTGGTTTCCCTGAATCTCTTCATAAATATTACCCTCTCACTCAAACAGCACATCAAGTCATAAATACCATCTGTCTCCATTCCCTATCTAACATGTTCATGCATGCTTGCTTGAAGTCTTAGCCCCTCGCACACAAAACCACCTTTACCCCCTCCCTCCAACCTTTCCTAAGCCGACCTCTACTACGCCTTATTAAGTGCTAAACCCTTGAGGGTAATAGTGCTGTTATTATAATCATGGGGGAGCACTAAACCTGTAGGATTATACAGTGCATGTGGGGGGGAGGATGGAAGGTGTTCAGGCTCAATTCAGGGAATTGGAGCACAGATCCAATTCCCTAGATCAAGAGCCCCTCACCAGCATCAAGGAACCTCCCATGAGGGGATACAGGACTGTGTTATGACTATGATTAGAAATCCTCTAGGAGTGAGCACAGATCATAAGCAGATAAAAGTGATAATTATTACAATCATAACTAAGCACTAAACCCACAAAGGTTGTACAGCAACAGAGATGTAAGCTTTCAAAAATGGAAAATAATGCCAGCTGATGGCATGGGGGAGAATTTTAATTTCTTTATAACACAGTTTTGGAGTCTGCTACCACGAATGACAAAACAGACATGGTCTTATGTGTATGATAGCAATGAGAATTATATGTATTCCGGCTGTGAAAACTGGCCAATTTGAGTAAATATCCTTTTTTTTTTTTTCTTTCAGAATTATTAAGTTCTAAATCTATGAGGGTCATTCAGCACTGTGGGGAGGGATGCATGAAAGTAAAATTGTGCAAAGGTTAAGAAGGTAGTGTGAGGTAAGAGAGGCAAAGTTAGGGGTTAGTGCAAGTGAAATTAAAATCACAATGTAATAGGTTAGTTTCAATCAAGCAATGTCAGTGAATGCATGCATTGGGTCAATTCAGACATTATTTTTATAATCATGGGGGAATGCTAAACCCATAGGATTATACAGCACATGGGGGTGTGAAAGTATTCAGGCTCAATTCAGGGAGCCGGAGCACAGATCCAGTTCCCTGGATCAAGAGCCCCTTACCACCGTCAAGGAACCTCCCCGAGGGGAATATAGACATCAGATGTGGATCCTGTTACACTAACAGGCAGGTCAGTGTATTGAAGATGTTGAACAGACAGTGAGACTTCACATTCCTGTGTGGTGCCAGTTTTGTCCATGCAATACCCATAAGTCACACGTGTCCAGTATGAAATGCGAGAGTTTAGTCCCCAAACCTGAGAGTGCTGTCCTGGTAGACAGTAATGGTGAGGATGGAGGTGCTGTCCAGGTAGTCAGTAAATGTACGCATGAGCGAATGCATATAAATGACCTCGAGGGAGACAGGAGCTGTAGTGGGGAAACAAATGTAGTCAAGGACAAGCTAAAACCAATATTACAAACTAGTAATACCACAGGAGATAGCAAACAAGGGGACTCCACTAGCATTAGTGAGGATACATTACCAAAAACAACTGGTGAGAGCCCCCTTGTTAGTGCTAGTGAGGATAGGAAAGAGAAAGGTAAACATGCACCAACAGGGAATACAGTCACAGAAAACCCCAAAGGGAAAAGAAACCAAGCCTGTGCACATATATGCACTTGGTATCTGTAGGCTGGGAAATCTGGAAAAAAAAGATGGAACGTGCAACTTTGACCACCCCAGAAATTTCCGTGCCATATGACAACGGAAAATGCAAACTCCCTTCCTGTAAGCGTTTTTACCCCGAAATGTGTCCCTCTTCAGTACAGGAAAGACTGTGCTATAACTTAAATTGCCAGGCACACCATCTAAAGGGGACAAAAAGATACAAAACATCCAACCATGGGAAAACCTGGGTAGCCACAGCCACTAAAAGGGGGAGGGGTTTTTTAGTGCCGGGAAGGGAAAAAAAAAAACTGGCAGGAAATCAGAAATCGTACACCAAACCAGTCTTCCTGGAGTGGAACCACAGTCGATGGCCCCCACTCCAAACCAAACAAATACTAATCCGGAAAAAAAAAAAATCCTCCCCGTACCACCAGTCCCATGCATTCTTCTTTGCAAATATACAGGGTCTAAAGCCAGCAACAAACAACAAAAAACCTTTTACTGTGGATGCTTGCAGGGGCAATGCAATGTTCGCGGGTTTCACAGAGACCACAAAGGTACTTAGACAAGAAAAATGGATCCCAGGGTTTCAACCTTACAGATGCGAATGAAAAGGGAAAAAAAGGGGGGGGGGGGGGGGGCCTGTATATCGCAGAGTCACTTGTTTGCACAGAATCAATGCCTCAAAAAATGTAGTGGAAGTTTTAGCAGTAAAGATCGAGAACCAAAACCTAGTCACTGTGGTAGTCTATAAGCCTCAGGATGCAATGTCCCAGCAATTCCAGGAACAGCTGTTAAAAATTGACCACTGTCTGGAAAATCTGCCAGCTCCTGCCCCAACATCTTGTTCCTGGGGGATTGCAACTTAAGGCACCTAAAATGGAGGAATATAGCAAATAATGTTGTTGCAGTGATAACACCAGGAGGCAGCTCTGACGAAAACACACACAACACACACGAGCTTTTAATCTCCACAAAATTCAACTTAAACCAGCAAATAATAGAGCCTACTAGACTGGAGAATACACTAGACCTCATCTTCACTAACAATGATAATCTGATACGAAATGTCACCATATCAAAAACAATATACTCAGATCACAACATAATCGAAGTTCAGACATGTATGCGCGGAGCCCCAGACCGACATAATGAGATTAGTCACGAAGGAGCATTCACCAAATTCAACTTCAAGAACATAAAGTGGGACCAAGTAAACCAAGTCCTAACCGATATAAGCTGGGAAGATAGACTAAGCAACACAGACCCCAACTTATGCCTAGAACAGATTAACTCGGTGGCACTCGATGTATGTTCAAGGCTTATTCCTTTAAGAAAAAGGAGGAGTATATGTAAAAT